GACAGACACAACTATAGAGCACTGGTAGAGGCTCTGGAACTCAGGTATGGAACCCAACATCAGTCAGAAGTCTACAGGTCTAAATTTAGGACGAGAATCCGTGCTAAAGAGGAGAGCCTGCAAGAGGCTCACACATTATAGGAAATTGGGTTACCTTAGAAAATCACAGGTACGATACAAAGAAGAAAATCTGATGCCATGACACCAGAATTTATTGGAACAAGATAACACTGCGGTTACCTAACACGGGATTGCTCTTTCATGCATGTGAAAATGGGTGGAAGAGCCAAGAATTAAAAATTTTTGGTACATGAATTGATTTTAGAGTGTGTGTTTTTATATGTTGTACTTAGCCATTAAGGATTTGCAAGTCTCGATTTTTGGGTGAACATTTTACCCCTTTTAAGGAATTATTTTGAAAAAGAAAAGAGAAAAAAAATAACTCACTATATATATATATATATATATGCATAGTAAATATCTGTAAAATGAGATTTTGTTGATGTAATCATTAAAAAATTTGTTTGTTTTGTTTTCTGTTTTGTTTTTCTACTTTCTTTTAGGTTGAATTTTGTGATTGGTTTACTTATTTTTTAAGTCTGTCCACTCTTGTGTTTTGTCTCTATATATATGTGTGCCTATATCTTGCTTGTTATATTATTGTTAAAGTGTATTTTGATATGTGGGTTTATTATTGTTAAAAGGTATTACATCATGCATTCTATCTTTTAAGATTATGGTTAAAGGTCTCATTATTGTCTTGTGTTCAACCAAAGTTAAAGTTTAAAAGAATTTTCTTTTTAATTACTTCATTGTTCTTTATATTGTTTTAATAGCTTTTTTGGAAACCATGGCAAAGGGTTTATTTTTGTATTGAATATGCTTCATTATCAGAGGCTTTTTGTTGTCCATTTTCGCGTGTAAGTGTTCTTAGGAATAAAGTAAAGTTAACATGCTCCTGGACTATGTCACGAGTTAATTAGGATTGGTTATAAAGTTAATTTTAGTTGTTGGCTTGGGGACAGACCTAAGAGGGAGAAGGGGCGAAAGTGTGACATGCGGGCATGTTATGTATTTTCTATATTCTATAGTGATGTTGCAGTTTCAAAATTTATGATTATTTAGTTGTTGCACTATCATGGTGGCAGCACGTGATCAGAAAATTATTAACATTAACTCGTTCTAGTTGCTTCACTTCTTTGTTCTCTCTAGTAGGTGAAGTCTTTTCTTCTCACAAGAATATTTCAGTATTGTAATAAACATCCGAGTTAATTGGGTTTGCACTGGGATAAACTTTTCTGGCTGCTGATACTACAAGTGACAATTGACTATTACTAGATAGATCTGCTGTTTTCCGTGGGTTTCTCTGTCTCACACTTGTTTGGAAATTGGGTTATTTGAGAATATTACATTTATTTCCTACAAGAACTGGTGTGGTTTAGGTCTTACTTAGAATACTGTTTTGTATCATCTTATCTAAGAAAGGATATTCACTTACTGAAAAGGGTTCAGAAGAGGGTTATTAGGGTAAGAAGAAGGGTAAGAGGTGATCTTATTGAAGTTTAAAATATTATACAGAAGATTGATAAGAAAATACCACTGATTTATTTGTACTATGTTCTGAAAATAATAGGACAAGAGAAAACAAGCTTAAAATTTGAAGAAAAAAAAGAGACTAGTGACAGTTTTATTTTTCTAACAAGATCGTTTATATATGATATAAGGTGTTGTCGGCTGTAGTAATAGTGGTGTACTAAGTGAAACATTCATGAATTTTATCCTTCCATAATTAGAATAGAATAATCCGTGTTCAAGTATATTCACGTAAAAGTTTTGTTAATTTCCATGCAGTTTCTGCATGATATTATGACATTCTTGGTGACTGGATGTCTCAAGGCAAATGCTACATACTGCAACATTTTATTCTCAAGTTTCAAGTTAGTATGTATGTATGAGTTTTTTTATGGACTTTTTGGAACGTAGCCTATTCAAATAAGCAATAAAGAAATCTGTACAACTGGCTTGGCTTAAGACTGCATGTGGACCCTAGGTTGAAATATGTAATGGATTGTGGGATACCTGACTGTCTTTGTCTGGTCAGAGTAGCTAAGTCGGGTATTTCCAGGATTCTCTCTCTTGAATTCTCTTGATCCTTGTCTTTCAACCCTAGCAGCCATACAAAAGAAGCCTGGCAAGTTTGGGCAACAGAACGCTGTGTTTGTAAGTAAACAATGAATTTTGTGTTTGCATAATTTCCTATACTGTCTGTGTTCAATTTATTCTTCATTTAACAGTCCTGAACCCGGATTTTGTGGATGTGGACCATCATATGGTAGTTTAAGTTGTTAGAAAGTGTATTACTAGCAAGCATTAGTGGGTTGACCTTTTAGATTAGTTAGTAGAGTATTCACCTGGTTGTGAAAGGTCTCGGGTTGAAATATTAGTCAAGAATTAAATTAACACATGGAAACTTTTGGCTATTGTGAATATCACAGTGAAGGTCAGCATATTACATCCATGAAGTAATAAATGACTCCTTGTTGTCCGCAAGTAAAAATGTATTTTCAACCTGAATGGTACCTATTGCACGCATGGGCTAACCGACTTCATTGACTTACTTACAGTGAATCAGCAGCAACTGTTGTCACAAGTGCTTTAAACGAAATAATACACTGATTCCAATCATTATATTGAATTACTGATAGTGGTATTGTTTTGTTTTGAATTTCACGCAAAACTACTCGAAGGCTATCTGTGCTGCCATCCATAATTTAACAGTAATAGATAGAAGGCAGCTAGTTAACACCACCCACCGCCAACTCCTGGGCTACTATTATCAACGAATAGTGGGGATGATTATTACATTATCCCCCCTCCCGATAAAAGGGCAAGCATGTTCATTCAAAAACTGTTTTGTTATTCAAGAGAAGAAAATTATGTTGTCCGCAAGTAAAAAAGTATTTCCAACCTGAATGGTACCTATTGCACGCATGGGCTAAACGACTTAATTGACTTACTCACAGTGAATCAGCAGCAGCTGTTGTCACAAGTGATTTAAACGAAATAATACACTGACTCCAATCATTATATTGAATTACAGATAGTGGTATTGTTTTGTTACAGATATACATATCATTCTTAATTAAAACTAAAGTGAATCCAGCTGTAAGACTCACTTACATGCTAGTTGATTCATAATTATTACACAATTTTTGTTCAGTATTTTACTTATTTAAAATAAATAAATTACAAGTAATTTGTTACCGTAACCAATAGACACCGGGAGAAGGCGTGCTAACGATAGTACGTTAGTTATCTATTCTTCATTTGGCGAATTTTGCTCTAGTGTTAGTAATCTAAGTATCTAATGTTATAGTAATACAAATAGTCACTAACACGTAACAAGTGTATGAATGAGGAAAGTAAGAAAATCTGATTTCTAGAATATTGCAAGTTTATCATTGTATTAGACAAATTTAAAAAAACGTCAGTGTTTTTAAGAATTTTATACGCTCTTTTTAAGTTGAGTTTACACTTTCAGTGGAAGTTCCACTGTTCCAACTTTTTAGCCAGCGGAACGGTGGAATTTGGAAATAGTTTTGAATATTTATACTCTAGATTTAATTTTAAGTTTTACCAGTTTGAAATAAAAATATATTGTTTAAAAATTAAAATTGGATATTTTGACAAAAAGTAAAACTACACGCGTAACATTCAGTCTAACTTTCTAAGAAACTATGTAACATTTTTAATTTTATGAGAGTTGTATGTTAACGGTTTAATCCTAAAATTAACGCTTAATTTAAAAATTAGTTAAACTTAAATCATACTCTACACCTTTTTGCTTAAAATTACTTTAGACATATTACCTTTCACTTTCAGCATCCTGTTTCTTACGAGTTCCACTTCCAGACTTTCTTATAGGATTTATTCAAAGCTTAATCATTTGATAGTTATACGTAATTAATGGATATATCATATGTAAAGTATGTACTATTTTGTAAATACAAAATTAGGAAAAAACGACCTTTATATTCCAGATAATTATAAAATAACTTTTTATTTTAACCAACGTTTTGCCTTTGCAGCTTCTTCAGAGTTAGTACATGCAACTGTTTGATATTAGAATATTTGTTAAACTAAAAACTGCTTGTAATGTTATATTGTTCGAGTTAAGCTTTGTAATGAAAAGTTAAAATAACATGGGAGGCTGAAAATGTTATTTCAGTTAGCTTCATCATTCTTTCCTGGCACCTTTATAGTGTTGAAAACCCAAAGTGTCTTCTGGAATTGCAAAACTATGGTAAAGTTTTTCATTGAGGCTGTATTTATATATCTGTGTGTGTAGGCAGGGGATGATAAACTGGGTGATATTTTTCTCACCTTTATTCTTTAGATTAAGCCAAGTATGTCCAAGTCCTAAAATGAAAGACAAACTCACCACCACAACATAAATTTTAAAATTATGTATGAACTCATGTTGTTCTTGATAAATAATCATACTTGAAATTGAAAAAGAAATTTATCTCAGACACCAAAGTAATATACATATAAACAAATCCTTCCATATATGTTTGAATTTCGGTGCTTCATAAGCTAAGTTGAAGGCCTGGCTACACAAATGTTTTTAAGACATGATAAGACATTTAGAAGATATATGGTCTTGCCATGGTGTTTTTACATGATGTACACCAAAATTTTCAAAGCATTGTTAACTAACTGATGTACCTGTTTAATGCACTAGGAAGACGTAGGAAGTCCCCCAGAGTGATATAGGTGGAGTAGGCACTTGGATCTAACTTCCCTTCTTGTAATTCTATGGGGGTGGGGGTTAGATGCCAGGTGCAATTTGCTAGGTAGTTGACACAATATACTATAAAGACTTAGGGATAGGGGGCATGTCAAGTTTGGTGAAAACTGGTCCAGAGCTTTTCCAGTTATATACAAACACACACAGACTTTTGCCAAATGGTGTTTTAGATGTGGTTAGATTTTGTTTTTTTCTGCATTTATTCCAGATTTTTATAAGATTTGCATATTAATCTGTATGTAAGCTTTTTTATTATAGCTCATTCCATATAATTCTTAAGCTAGAGCTGAGCAATTAGTGGAATATGATCATTTGGTTAATGATCAGTTTCATAAATTGATTACATTAAACTAATTGCTTGTGATCACATGAGGTATGGATAATTGAAAATAGTAATAATTGGAAACACTAAAAATAAGAGTTGATTGTTTACATGAACTATGATACTAATTGATTAAGATGAACAACCTTGAATCCATCAAAAGTAGTAATGATAACCCTTAATAGAAATATTTTGATTATTTGGATAGCTCAACTAATTCAAAACAATGATAATTGGAAACATTAATTTGGGTTAGTTAATTATTTTTGTGACATTAATCAATTTAATCATAATTTTGATTAATCTTTTAATTTACAGGACACTAATTGATATAACCGATGCTCATTCGTAATAGATTGTATCATTTAATCAACTAAGTTGCCCAGCTCTACCTTTAGTCCATGTTATTTGTGATATGCATATTTAACTAATTTGTCTAGATACAAATATAAGCTTGAAGGTATGAGAATCTCTGAATCTTAGTTGTTTTTAAAGGATAAATGACCTAGAAAATAAGATGATGTAGGAATCAAGCCTTTTTTTGCTTTACAAAAAACTTAAGTCATGATAGAATTGCAAAATACATTGTCAGTTCTTTCGTTGAAGCTCTTATAGGTTATGTTATAACTATTTGTTTGTTTGTAGTAGATACTGGATGATGTACATCTGACACCAAAATCTGCACCTTTATAAATATCTGTTGTTTACTTATCACACAAAGTATTTATGAAGTTTCAGTATTATCTGTTGCAAATAAAATATTACAGATATTAATTTATGATTTTTGCATTGCACTGTATTATACATTTTATTGATCATATGTCATTAGTACTGTTTAAGACAATATGAGACTGAAGAAAAGGGCATGATTGCGTTGAAGCTAGTTTCTCCAATTTCAAGTCTTCTGATAGTTTGTTCCACCTGCTGCATATTATTTGCATATTTGTGACATGAAATTGTGTTTTATCATTTGAATACAAATATCATGCGGATTCATGTATATGTAGTAGCTGACTGTAAATGTGCTAAATATAAAACATTTTCATGTTGATTTCTTTTTAGAAAAACATCTGTAGGGTTGATCTCTAATTAACATATCCTCATTATCCTTCCTGTTGTGAGAGAAATGTTAATTGTTTTTTAATTGTGTATGCTCTGGCATGCACCTAGAGTATAAAACCATAATGTTAATTCTGTCTAGTATAATTTTTTCTTTCAAAATATTGATGTTTTTCTTGTTTTCTGTTCTCTTTCAATAAAACGTAAGTAAAAATGATAAGAAAATAGTATATGTAACATTTTTCTGATGTACGTGTATAGCTACTAAAATGTAGTGCATCTTATTTTTTTAGTGGTATAACATATAAAAAGTTTGTGTATTAAGTAGTTTGTTATAAATCTACAGTAAGACAACCTAAAGTGGTAGGTGTTTGTGGGTGCATTTTTGGACTAATCCAGCAGTGAAAGACTTTGTGAATGTTACCTGAAATAATACAGTACCAAATTAACTAATTACAAAGCTAAAAAAATACATATAAATAATGCTCAGGGTACTGAAATATTTGAAAAGTGTAATATAGTTTAAAGTCTTGTGTCAATCTAAATCAAAAAAGGTTTTCCTTAGCTAACAGGCAGTAATGAAAATTGTCTCTAGTAAATTTTATGTGGCTGTCAAACTTCCAACTGATTCTGTAATTAACTCTATTCTTTTCTTTTTTTTCTGAATGGTACACCTTTAAAAATATCTGACATTTGTATTACAGAATGAGTGCTGAATTACTGTTTTCTCTTTTTTCTACTCCCCCCTCCTTTTTTTTTACCTTGTTTTTATACTGACAGAGAGATCTGATGTACTTGTGTGATCAGTTGTGGTGTCAGTTTGGGATTCCAGGGATCATGAAAATTGTAACATTCAATAATTATGTTTTGCTAAGGGTTACCTATTATTGTAGTATGGTTTCATTTACATGTATTCAGGTTGTTTACATGGAAATAGAGGGACTGGAAGAAGCATAAAAGCTTCTGTAAGTCTAGTTTCAAAATATTGAGGAGAAATGCTAAGAGTTTTACATTAAGAATAGCCAAGGTAAATAAACTATAATGATGGCAAAAATATGAGCACTAGGTTTTAATAATAAAATTTTAACCATAAGCATTTTGTGCATTTTATAATATTTTTTTTGCAGTTAAATTCATATATAATTTGAAAAGTTGAGGATTGAAAACATCTGTTTGTATTTGGCTCAAAAACATGGTTGACTCATATTCATCTTTGTTCTTTCTAGTCTTGTAAAACAACAAGCATCTCACTAGAGTGTCCAGAAATTATATTAACAAATTAATTAACATTTTTTTCTCTGTCTCTTGAAACTTCTACATGGTTCTTATTTTAGTACCATATTACATGTATGTTCCAATATACTTCTGTTGGTGCAATACAATTCCAGTAAACCTTGTAGGAGAGCTTCATGGGTCTGAAACCCAAAGTAACAATTTGTTAACATATTTTCAGACAAGTGTACTTCTAGTCATTGGTAAAACTTTTTCGTGGAATAACATAACTATACTATACTAACAGCTACATTTAGGTCGTTTTGGACTTATTTAAAAATTCATCATCTTCTTGCATTACTTTATTAATAATATCACCCTATCTGTGACTAACATTACAGCATCTGCCATCTCTTAGGGGTTGGTGAAGGAGAGGAATTATTCTAGTTTAATCATATATTGGTTTACAGGAAGAGTTCAGATCTATTAAAAACAGTTTATTGTATCTAGACAAAGTAAATTTTAAAACAGAATTAAAAAAAAAATTACAATGATTCAAGGAAAAAATATTAATCTGTTTAAATGGTGCTAATAAGAACAAACTTTATGTAAGTATTAAATTAAGGCATTAGTTACTTTTAAAATAATGTTTATTTAGGTACTTTTTTTTATAGTAGAATTACAGTTATTCATACCTACCACTGTCATCAACCAGGAATACTAAATATTCATGTGTACAGTTATGTTGTACCTTAGTGTTCATGATCATGTATAATTGAATTTGTTAATTTACAAAAAGTAATAAATGTGTTATTCATAAGAATAAGGAACACACTTGTGTTTTAAGTAACAAGAATGAACTTTTTTTTTCCCTGACATTCTGTGGGTGATATAGCAATTGCTGGAAGTTGTCAAACAGTTAAGTGTAATGAAATTATACCATCTATTTAGCATTTTTTAAAAGCGGCATTTTATTTTTCTAACAGCAAAAATAAAAAACTTTTTTGGAATTAGCTGTCATGAACAGAAATATTCTGAAACTTTAAAATCACATAATACAAGATGAGAAGAAATACCTTACTTTAAGTGTGATGCATTTCATTAAGAGACATGCTGAAAAGCGAACAAAACAACCAAAGGTTAAGTTTTTTTTTGTCACTTGCTTAATTTTACAAATAAGAATAAATTAATTGAAACATGTAACTGAGGTGCGAGGAGTAATTATCTTTTTTTGTACTAAGGATTTAGTCAAATAAGTTAATGATTGTAATAAAAATAAAGTATTTGTTTTATATCTTGATCAGGTAAAATTAAGCAATGAATCCTGAAGCAAATATGTCATTATCACAAGTGGCTGTCATGAATAAGGGTTTCAAGGGAAATCAGTATCAACAACCTACAGAATTTCAGTGTCCTGTATGCAAGAAATACTTCAGCAGGAAATGTACGCTTCAGATGCATCTTCTAATTCATCAAGATGTCAAACCACACATTTGCCCTTTTTGTGGACAAAGCTTTCGTCAGAAGGGAACGCTGATGAGACACAAAGTGAGACTGGTGGTGTTTTTTTTTTTTTCTCTAATTTTTTCAATAAAATAATTACAATTAAACTACTCTAAATAGTTACTAAGTTAAGATTACCATTATTACTAAATGGTGGGTATTGAGTATTTTTCATTTTTAATGATCAGGTTGATCATATTGCAGTTCATTTGACAATAGTTCATTACAGTTTCAGAAATCTAAAGTTGTTTATTCTTTGAACTTTAGTTCTATTCAAGCCATTAGCACTAGGTTTTGTTATCAAAATAATTTTAAATTTACCTAAAGATTCACAGCATCAGTATGTGATCTTTCTTGCAAATTGACTTCCAACTGACCTGTATCAAAATTGAAATCATTGCATAACCCCTCTAGCACAGATAATATGCACTTGATGGTTTTTATGCTTATTTCATGTACATATGTACTTTATGACCTTCTGTGGTTGATATTTCTCTAAGAAATTTGAAGTTAGGGTTTTGTACAGCTTTTAGATTTGGAGTGGATTGGTATGTCAAGGTGGTTATATGTAATAGCTGTTCATTTGGGTTGTCCTCTCAGCAGGTGGTGTTTCTACTGATACAAGCTAACACTTATATGTACACATGTATGTATGTATGTATGAATGTAAATTATTTGATTGATTAATGGTATCTTCACTTTGTACAGTATAATGTTAAATTAGCTTAGTTTTTGTGGTTTCTTGGTATTCATAACTGGCCATGTATATATCAAACAACCAGAATACTACCAGAGTAAGATAACAAATTACAAAATTGAATGAATTGCAACACTGCATAGAACTGCTCCCATTTGAACACTTAAGGCATCTGCATAGAGAAAATTGGGGCCATTATCAGTGCCTGCTTTATCTTATCAAATGCATATTGACACTAGGGAATCCTATTCTACTCAACATTGTCAGAATTTAAAATATAATTCTTTCACCTGTTGTCAAAATAAAAGGCTTTTACTTGTATTTTTTAATAGTATAATTATATATTCTGTTGTTGTTGGGCTTAAGATTCTTCTACAGTAAGTGTCTGTGACTTGTTAGTGATAAATTCAACGATAAATGAACAGCACACACTTCACTTGTTTTCAAAATAATATATATGTATTCAAAACAAGTTAAGCATATGTACAACAAATTCTTTACACTATAGAGATTATAGGCATATCATAGACACTATATATATAGTTCTCTCCTTCTTGTCAGAAGTCCACTTAGGTCTATTCAGTTACATTAGAATTTCTGTTGACAAGCTGAACTATCTTTTCTATTACTATTGCACTAGTATTCTGTGTGTGATTCACTTACAATTGTGGAGCGAGTTACTGTAATCATTTAGTCTTCTTTCTTCAAAAGATCCTCTGTTCCGTTTGTCAAAGTGCACTCAGGCTGATTCAATTACTTTAGAACCATGCTTTGATGGAATAATTCTTCTTCTTATCTTTTATACTGTTAGTCTTACTCTAACATGTTAACATTAGGCCTATGTTAATTGTTAGGCCTATCACTTCTACAGCAGTTAACTTCACACCAAACTTTTTCTTGCTTGTAGCTTTACTCTCTTCTGCTGTTTCCGCTCATCTCACACTATTTATATGTTTATCACTTAATTGTCTGCCCTCTTCTATAAATCTTATTCTTGACGTCAGTGTATTGCACGCAACGTTGTATAGTCTCATCATCAATGAATTATTAACACAACTTCCTACAATTGTTTGTTTTTAACTCTTATTATAACAAAAACTAAATAATAATATAATATTCACTCACAAAATAAATTAATCAATAATATTAAAACTAAACAGTCTTTTATATCATGACAAACATGCATTCTGCTTAGATGGTATAAGGGTTGAGTAATTGCAGCTTAGCTAGAAATGAACTGATTATTTCAAAACACATGTACCTAAAATAGATACTTAACTCCTTACAGTTTTCTTTAGTAGAAAAATCTTTTACATCTTAACTTTCATCATTTGTATGTATTCTGCATAGTAATTTTAAACCCTAAAAAGGATACTTCTGGTTGGCAGAATTTACTTTTGCTAATTTTCACAGTCAGGTCAGCCATACAAAGCTTATAAAACAACTGGTTTGAGGTCTTTGAGATGGTGTTCAAATGTTGATGAGAGCACACTAATGTCATCAATATATGATTTTAAACAGTCTTTTGCATCTTTAAAGGATCTTATCTACGAGTCTTTGAAAAGTTGCAGATGCATGTTTTTGAACTGAAAGGCATTACTTGTTGCTTTCTTTAGTCCACATAGAACCATAAATCATTAGTCTTTATCTTGCCAATAACTACTGGAGAAGCCTAAGAAATGGACGGCCCAATTGATCCATCACAGAACATTTCATTCACTTGTTTGTGAAGCATTTTTAGTTTAGTGAACAAATAATGACATTGTTTACTAAATTTTGATTTTTCACTAATGGTTTCAGTGATAGGTTCAGTTGCATCTGAAAGTACAGACTTATCATTAAAAATATTAGCATATTTCAATAATTTTTCAGTTTCATTCCTACAAGCACTACACTTCAGTGATCAGTGTTTCATTGAAGTATTACAGGCAGCAAAAGGCACATTTATTTCAATAACATTTCTTAGAAAGTCCTTATTAACTTCATCCTGTTGGATAAAATCTAAACCAGTGAGACAAGATATTGCTAAATATTTTACAATATCAGTTGTTTGCTCCATAATTCCATTTGCTACCAATAACTTTGTTATGAAATGCTGTAATTGTCAACAGTTTGTCATTCATCAGCAAGAGACACTTTTCCTTCATTCCGTGTTAGGAAATGAAAGTTTGGGCTGTTTTCGTTAATTTATTACCTCCAGCACCAAAGGTGGATGGAGTTATGTTTTCACCCCTGTGTTTGTCAGCAATATTTCTTGAAAATGGCTGAATGGTTCTGGACAAAAGTTGGTATAGATTTTAACTATGACCCAACTTAGAAGTGATTAGTTTTTGGAGGGTCATGGTCACAAAAATAAAAAAAAATCCCTATCTGTTAACATGTGGACCAGTTTTTCACACTATTGTTGTTCTACAGCTCAGTCAAAAATAATCATATTTTGATGAAACTTGGTGGACATGTGTAGAATATTATTTCTCATTGTCCTGCCAATAATGATCCATGTCTATTGATAATGATGGATACATGTTTGTATTTTTTGAAAACTGAATATGATTGATGCTGCTTGGGGGAGGTATGTGCTTTACCCCTCTGGTTGCCATATGTTTTCATCCATAATAATCAGGCCCAGTGTCTGTTTAGCCCATTACTTCAACATCATTAATTTCAAAGTGTCAAGTTTCAGTTGTGGTTATGTAAATTAAAAAGGATTTTACTGTAAGGGAAATGAAAGCTTCGTTATTTGACACCTCATTCCCTTACTGCTTTCAATCATCGCTGTGTTCTCTTTTTACATGTACAACTTTATTAGGACAGTTCATAGATAGGTTACTTATTTGATTTATAATGTTTGATAACATTTCAATAGTTTTCATTTCCATTAATCACTTCTTATTAGAAATGTTCAGTTTATTTCTGCACTGACACTTGTATTGCTTAGTGAAGGTTAGCACACTGGTAGTAGAAACAACATAGTATAATTCCAAGTACTGTGTTAATGAAACATGTAGTTGAGATATCAAACACTTTCTCTTTCAGTAGCTTTAGGGTTCCATAATGTATATAATTTTACATTTTCCTAAATAAATGTGTCTAAACTCTCCACTGTATTTCAAGTGTAGTTCCTACTGAATAGTTCTTGAGCCAACTAAGTTTTTTATTCATCTAACACAGCTGTGTATAGGTTAGTTAGGCTATCATTAAATTCAAAAGCCATTTCTGATCCTAGTGGACCTCCCCTCAAACTTGAGACTGCATTTTCTACCCATCTGTTGCCTTATATTTGGTACAGGTAAAAATGTGTTCCTAAACTCTTAATAATTTCATTAACAGTGAGATCTGACGTGCTGTCAGATTTTCTGGCTAGCGGAGGTGGAAGGTTGACTGCAGTAACGAAAGGTGGTGGTAAATCCTCAAAGGTGTCCCTATTGTAGATGAACAGATTATAGATGATAAACTGTCAAATTTTGAGGTGGTATAGGGGAGGGAGGCATTGCATGTCTTGCCACCCAATATGTTACTTAGTGTGTTCACATCTACATCTGCTTGGTCAAAAACGACAGTGAACTACTTCAAGCTTGACACATCAGCTTCATTGATCACCTTTGTAGTTCTATAATGACTTTACAATAACATTGACTTCTTTCTAATTATTATCTAACTTGTTGCTAGGATATTTATTCTGGGAAATCCAAGGCTAACCTTGCAGATAACTCGAGAGTACCTCATCCTGTCAGAGAAGAGTGCCAGAGCAGAATCACTGTAAAGCATTACATAGAATTAGCAAGTGTTTTTTTACAAATAAAAATGAGTTTTGATCAGCCATAGACAGAAGGATTAAATGACTGGTGAACTAAGTTTTTATGTAGCATAATTTAACTTCTGATTTTATATATTTCTTCTTATTTTGTTTCTATTCTTCGTATATTAATTTGGTTTAAATAGTGAAGTTATTTATTATAAACTGTCACTCCATCTTTAAACATCTGAAATGTTACATAAGATAATAAGAGTTTTTACTTCATTAACTTTGTACTTTAAAAACTTTACCACATAACCAAAATGTAAAGTATGAATTCTGTTCTTTTTCTAACAGCTGTGCTTCTGAAAAACATTTGTATGGGTGATTCTTATTAATAGAAGGACACAAACTATTTAAAAGAATCAGTTTCTTGAACATGAATATTATTGAAAATGAATATTCAGTTATTTAAGAAGCATAAAATTTTAGGTATATTGATTTAGCTTTTAAAAACTGAACCCAATTTTTAAACTTTTTTTTTTCTTCCAATTTTAGGCATTACATAGTAAAACAGCACTTTTTCACTGTGAGCTGTGTAACAAAAATTACAGACAGAAAAATGTATTTCTTCATCATTTACGACATCGGCACAATGTTGCTACTGATAGTTTGGATAGGAGGAGGGATACCACTCGGCTAGCAGATAACCAGAGTCTTCTGAAACAGTTGCCCTCCTTTGCTAAGGCTGATGATCGTGTGATCAACATGTCTGATAAAACATTTGAAAACTTGCTTTTGAACTCTTTAGGAACAGAATCTGTAAATACAATGAGACAAAAATATAAGATCTCTTCTAGTTTTCCTAGTTCTACAACAGACCAGTCTTTAATTGTTGAGCTAACAGGAGTACAAGGTAATAAAATGGAATGGGTTAATCATTCTGAAAATCAGAATCCTCTTCATCCTTATTATAGCAATGATAATGGTGTCAGTTATGGTGAATGTAAGAGAGATACTTGTGAAATACCAAAGGTGGATGTTGCAATTAGGTGGCAGTGTCAGTATTGTTCCTTTGATATTAGATTTGACCATCAGGCTTGCTGGGACCACCTCTCTATACACCGGAATGACCGACCTTATGACTGTTACAGGTGTTTGCAGTTATTTAGGAATGAGAAGGATTGCAAAAGTCACATGTTAAATCATCATTCATTACTGATGAACCAAATAGATTCTAAATTAAGAGCTGACAAAGAACTAGTTTGTGAAGAATCAGCAAATTCAGAGCTGTTGATCTCAGATGTGGAATCTGACATCTCTGTTCAATCGGGTGTTGTAACTGAGCTCGAAAAAGCAGATGTTCGACACTCAGAAGTTTCTGATTCTCTTTATCTGCAAGACATGACATATACATGTATTCCCTGTCAGTTAGATTTTTCATGTGAAGATGAGTTTGAAGTACATGTAAAATCTCATGTTCAGAGCATTTTGGTCACTGATGATGATGAATCAGAAAAAAGTTTTGTCATTCCTGGCATATATGGGAAATCAGATCAGCTTTCTCATGGTTCGGCTCCAAGTTCTGAAATATGTTCTGTTAAATCATGTGATTCTGCTACAACTTCCCAAGCTTCTTGTTCACTATATTCTCCAAATTACGATAGACACGAAAAAGAAAGAGAAGAATCAGGCTGGTACGAGCAGAAAAAGTCATTCCTATGTGAGAAAGAAGGAAAAAATATGAATTTTAATAATTGTTTAGGAATGAGTGAAAAATTAAATGTTGCAGATCCTAAAAAACAATCTGAGAGAGACATTTCACAAAGAAACACTATCAATGGAGAGACCTGTGAAAGAAATAATAATAACAGTATGAGAAATAGTTGCAGAACTATAGTGAAAACTGTCATGGCATTTTTTTGTCCATACTGTGATCTTTATTTTGATAAGAAAACTAGTTTACAGAAACATGTTGATAAGCATGTGCGACTTTTGGCAGTACAAATAATAAATGGTGTAGCTGTCAACAGAAAGGAAAAGATTTCCTTTGGAAAAAATGTAAAAAGGTCCTGTTTGGTTGTCAAGGAAGGATCATGTAAGAGAAATTGCAGTAAGCCACTTGAGATGTCAGTATTGCAAAATAAAGTTAGCTTTAGCATAGACTCTAATTGTTCCAATCAGAAGCAGTTTGTGTGTCAAAAGTGTGGGGAAAAATTTCAAAAGAAAAATAATTATTTGTATCATAAACAATTGCATTTTAGAAAAAGATCATTTTCCTCTTTTTGTAAATCTCAAAAATTTATAAAAAACAAACATTTAAAACACACAAGAAACAGACACGTAAAACAGTATCAGTGTTCGAAATGCATGAAAACATTTTTCTGTTATAAAATTATGAAGCTTCATCATAACCAATGTTTAAACAACTGCCTTGGAAGTTGTTTGGAGAAGTATGTAGAAAATCTTTCTCTTCCCGTAGCAGATCTGACAAAAAAAAATGATAATGTGTCACCTGATGTAATTGGTATAATCCCTGTTGGTGCCTTGCAGTGTTCTTCTCACACATTTTCTGAAAATTTCAATGCAAATAACAGGGTAATTGGAATTCCTGTTATTTCTCTTCAGTCTCTACCAGAGCTGGGTTCTCTTCCATTCATTGGGAAAATTTCATTAAAAAATCCAACAGCAAAATAGGAATGTACTGAGTTTTGTGTTGGCTCTGTTAATATATATATATATATATATACAAGTCACTAGCTAGTGGAATAACTTGTATGAATTATGTTGTTTCAGAATAACCAAACATCAACTTATAGCACAACTTATATGGCTTCTAATGTCTTTTGGTTCCTGTGTAGATTAATTATTAGTTGTATATTTATCTTTTGTACATTTACAGTATTGAGATTGTTTGTAGTGTGTTCTTAATGTTTTGTGTTACAAGTATGTATGTTGTTTTTGAAGTTTGACCATTAGTGTCAAAAATAAACCCAGAATAGTATGGCTTGATTTTGAATTTGATATCCTATGATAAGCCTTATGGTTTGCTTTATGTGAAGATGTGGTCTGTTTGTTACATTATCATTGACTACAACTGTTGCAATATTCTACTTACATTATCACTGACTGCAAATTACTACAGTGTTTTAGGCTTTTTGCTATTTACCCAACCATCTTGTTGTAGGTTATTTAAATTATTACTTATCAAGCTCTTAATTTCTTAATGTTTTTTTTTTTTCTCTATGTAGAGGTTGGTAAAACTTTATTTTGAGAATCCATTGTATTTTTGATGAGATCCAATACACTGATATAAATCACCTTAAAGGATTTATTAGAAAGATTGTATCTTTGAATTTTAAAAACGTCTATAAATGACAATTCCTTACAGCATTTGTGGGTTAAGAAAATTCAACTTTTTGTTTGTAAATCAGTTCATGAGATTGTAGGGAGAGACTTCAGTAGTGTGAGATGTGTTACCTCTATTAAATATATAATGAAAAGGAATTATACATGGAGTAGGAAAATAGTTATTTTTGTTACATAGTATTTAATTAACAGAGTCATTCATAAAAAAGCACTGTATTTAAATATGCTTTGTGAACAAAGGTGTTAATTGAATTTTTGATAACATTTAAAACAAAGCAGCCATTCAATGCAAGTATAAATTGGAAATAAATACATTTTAGAATTGTTTTTGTTTTAAGTTTTATATATGGATTTTAAAGATTGAAAGAAAAATTGTGAACAACTGAAAATGTAGCTGTTCCCACAAAAAACAAAATGGCATTTACATACATTGACTCTTTACGTTTTTTGAGGAAAATTATGTACCCATTATATTTTATTTAGTAATTTTTTTTGTAGAGAAACTTAAAAACTGATCTGAAAGGAAGTATAAAGTCATCAATCTGACTATAAGTGCCCCATTAAATGAAAATTAAACTTATTTGGTAACATGTTCTGAATTTTAACAAAATGTTATGTAAATATACCTCTAACTAAATAAATTACACAAAAAAATCAATACTTGTAACAACTTTGTTTTAGGAAATAGTTTTTATAAGAATTCAGTATTCAACTAAAAGCACACATGGAATTATCAATTCTTAATTCATTAATTAAGTTTTAAAATTCAAAACTAGAACTGACAATATACAAGTTAATATAGTAACGAATGTCAGAACCTCCCTGGTGGCTCAACAGTAAACTTGAGGGATTATAATGCTAGAATTCTGGATTTGATCTCCAAAATGGAGACAGTGCAGATAGCTGATGGTGTGGCATTTGGTTTGGTTAAGCAGGTCTAAGCATTGCCAAGTGGATAGCATGCCCGACTGAGGAATCCAAGGGTCTCAGGATTTGGTGTCACCAAATTCCATTCACATTTTCAGCTATGGAGCATCATAAGAGTGACAGTCCATCCCAATATTGAGTTAAAGTATCGACTTCATGCAGTTTGCCTTTCATTTGGTCTGTAGTTCAAAATTGGAGACAATTATATCTGAACTGCAGAGGCCCCTGACCTGGCTGTATATTCCATTGTGTGCATACAGTGTTGTTCAAGCACATGAAGAGCAGGATGTGTTGTTTGTTTGTTTGTGTCTGTAAAGCCAGAAGAATAGCACAGTATCATTTACTTGATTTACATTTGTTTAAGTCATCAAAGAAATCAGTTTAATTGTAACTGCTGGTTCTTTTATAACTCATAAAAAATGCAATTGTTTGAAAAAGGACTAGGTATACTATTAACTTACATGCTTAAAAACTACAAAGACAATACAAGAATGTCAGAAATTACCTTTATGTTATAAAAGTTATTATAATCCATTTACAGATTTTTTCAACTGTTGGAGAAAATATTTAAAACAACCAAAAATTAGCAAATCGTAGTGTGTATTTTGGTGTGATAGAAAAATTTGAATACTATGCCTATACACTATTTAGTTTGAATAAATTGCACACGCAGTCCAATATTCCCATCGTTCTCTGTTGCATGTTTCAAGAGGTAAATATTAAACCTGCTGACAAAAGCATGACACACCTGTTCCTATATTTTACAGGTGTATTTAATTTTTTGAATCTTAAGAAAAGCAATTTTACAGATTAATTTTTTAACCTTGAAAAAAGCAATTTCAAACATGATACACCTCTTCCTGCATTTTTACAGATTATCTAATATTTTTTATCTTAAGAAAAACAATTTCAAATTATGAAAAGAAATAGGTAGAACTTATTTTATTACTTTCCGAAAAAGAAATTATGTTTTAAATGTTACATCTGAAGAGAGTAGTATGTTTCCAATATTTTTGTGGTATTCTAAGATGAACTGATTTTCTTAAAGAGTAGTGCTGCAATAGTAGGAGGAACATCAGGAAATTAGTCACAGAGTTGACACTGGCCAAGAATGAAGAAAGAGACCTGTGCAAAAGCGAATAAAAGTAATTGTTAATAACAAAAATAGTCAAAGAAAAACAAGTGCACTTAATAATAGACAATGCTTCTACTGAAGATCTGTTTATTTGCAGACTGGTAACTTGTTATTAAGGAACATTACTTTTTCAGAGTTAGAGTTACACATTTTACTGGTGATCATTCCAACCGAAAAATAAGGGAGGTTATAACCTTAAGGTATCACTGTCCTTCTGTACGTAGTGTGTTCTACTATACAGTAATCTTTCTGGAGAAAGTGTAAATCATATCACAGGGGAATAACCCAGAACAATAGGTTCCTAAAGCAAAAGGATATTAACTACATTCCTTGATCAGCATTCCATTGCCAACCCTACAGTCTGATACACACAGCTGGAAAACAGAATGTGGCAATTTCTTTTTTAATTCTAGCTGAACATGAAATGTTTACCTTATTCAAATAAAAAAAAAGACTAGAAACATGAAATAATTACTACAAAGTACAACTTTTCACTGTCAGGCCATTTTGGCTGCCCCTAACCTTGAATTTTAAAATTCAATGAAATAATTGAAATGTGCACAGTGGTAATGAAACTGTTGAATATTGCTTTTGCCTCTGTGAAACATTTACACAAACATGACAGGCAACACAAAAGATAAGATACAAGCCAAAATACTGTTACGTCTTCGTTCGTTAGTTAATTTTCCGTAAATTCGTTCCGACGAAACTTTAGCGACACGAGACCTTTCTTAAATAAAACTGGTTTATTCTTTCCGAATATAACTTTGCGATACACTTAATTTCAACAGTCGCGCTATAATTCTCACCGAACGTCTCACGTGCTCGACTCAACAATACTCAGTTCAATTTCACATTACCACCGTCGCTTCGTGGCCGGTCTTATACATACAAAACTACACTATATCTAGAAGGATCCCGAGATTTAAGGAAGGGAGTGAATGTTCGAGAAGGACGTGGCGTAATACTAGTCACGTGACCTCCACTGACGCAGCACTGCCCCCTCCTTAGTATTGTTCAGGACGAACAATAGCCACTTACACTAAACCAATAACAATTAACAATAACTTAATTAAATGTACAGAATTACAATTCAACAAAGTCTCTTAATTTTACGGGACGTAGCTTCTTCCGTACTGGTCTATATCTCATTGGCTTCTGCCTCACGTGGGGTTCATCTGCTTCATTAGGAAATGTCCTATCGTCTGTAACAGTCATGTTAGTGGTAGTAACTTCATCAAGAGCTTCACCGTTTCCCTTCTCAAAACTGAGTAGAGTTTCTTCTTTGACAGTGGTTTTTTCAGGTGACTCGTCTTCAGCAGCGTCATTTGTTCCTTTGTTCACTTTGTCCCAACTGAAATGTCCTGGACCGTGATAACGCCAAAGCCTGTTGGCATGCACCACTTTTGGCTTACCTCGCCGACCACATTTTATCCAGAAAGTCACGTCTCAGAGACCATCCACTATGTCATATGGGCCTTCCCATGGAGAAGACAACTTAGGAGACTTCCCTTTGGTCTTCCTGGGATTATACAACCACACCTTGTCTCCTGGTTCAAAGCTGACTTCAGTAGATCTCTTATCATAAGATAGCTTCATCGAATCAGCAGACGTTTTCAAGTTTGAACGCACTTGATGGTGAATATCATCCATCCTTTCCAATAACACTTCCACAAACTCTGAGATATTCACAGGGGACTCTTCATAAGGTGGGCGTCCCTTATGCTTGGGTCCCATTTTAGCACTACATGTACTGCACCATTCTTCCACATCTCGCCTCATACCTATCCAGTAAAATCTTTGTCGTAGGTGACTCAATGTTTTCTTAATCCCGAGATGTACTCCTGTTAAAGTATCATGGGATTGATGCAGCACAACTTCCCGTGACTTTCTCGGTATAACTGTTTGCCGAGTCATCAATTTCCCATCTCCGGAGAAGAATACCATCTTCAAGCTTTAACTGGTCCCATTGTGCCCAATAGTGCTTTGTCACAGGGCTTAGACTAGACACCTTCTCCCAAGCAGGGTGTGAAACACAATAAAAATCAATTATTGGTTTCAAATCTTGATCTTTCTCCTGCTCTGCTTTAATATATATACCTGGTTCCACTTCGTCATCATCAACTTCTTCAGTCACCTTGATGGTTCCTAATTATTTCAACCTCTCTTTTAACAGTTTCCGGAACTGGGCCTTTGTTATTCCCAAACGTAATTTTATCAAAATTAATTAGAAACTTCCTTGGTATTAGA